GGGGGTTAGGCAATCGGGTTTCTCGAAGAGCTTGTCTACTTTCCTTTTTTAGGGTACAGGAATCTGTAATGGGCGGTTCGGGCTGCGGTTCGGATTGTTGATCGGTATGGAGATGGGATGCGGGAGGGACATGGGGGGGGGGATTGGGAGGGGGAGGGGGTTGGGGCTGGATCGTGCCATGGCCCGGGTCCTCCGCTGGCACAGGGGGAAGGCCGGGGATGGGGAGGGAGAAGGGGGGGGGGGGGGGGAAGGGGGGATGATGGCCATGGCATGTGACGATGGCATGTAACGATGGTGTGTGGGCACGGCATGCGGCGATGACAGGCATGGGGTGATGGCATGCGGTGATGAGGATGACTTGATCGGAGCAGCAGGAAGCAGCTCCCCGACCGAGAAACAACCCATGGCATGACCATGACCTCCCATCCCCCTCCCCCCCCCCCCCCCCCCCCCCCCCCTCCATCACGGCCCTATCCCCCCCCCCCGTCCACTCGACTCGATGCGGCCGCCATCCCCTCCCCCTCCCCCTCCCCCTCCCCCTCCCTCCCCCCCTCTTCCCCACCACCACCACCACCCCACCCGAGTCATGCTCCGCCTCCCCGCCCTTGCCAGGCACAGCATCCGCCATGCCAGCACAGATGCGGTGTGGGCAACGAGGCTCTACAGGCGGCGCAGAGGTGTTGGGCAGCAGCGAGTCCATGTGTGGGAGGTCGAGGTCGTCGACGAGCACCCGCCGAGGGTGGTGACCCGACATGGGACGGCCGAGGGGAAGAGGACCGAGTCGGTCCGCGAGGTGGCCAGCGGGAAGAACATCGGTCGAGCAAACGCAACTACGCCGCTGGAGCAAGCCATCAAGGAGGCCATGGCTGCAGAGAGGAAGAAACGTCGCGCGGGATATGTCCCTCGCCTGGCTGATCTGGATCAGATCGAGGCCGATGCTCCCGCTCATCCTGGTCTGCATCCGGCTTGTGCGGTCGAGCCCATGCTCCTGGGGAGCTACAAGTGGCCATGGATGGCAAAGCAGGTGAAAGAACCGTGGCTGGTCCAGCCAAAGCTGGATGGCGTCCGCGCCGTCGCCATCGCCCAAGAGCCCGGCACAGAGCGCCCCGTTCGCCTCTTTACCCGTTCGGGCCTCGAGCTCCACATCCCGCCGCTCGCCGAGAGCCTCGCTGCACTCATGCTCCAGCCTCATCATCGCCGCTGGGGCTTTGTCGACGGCGAGCTGTACGCCCATGGCCGCCCGCTCGAATCCATCTCGGGCGCTGTCCGCAAGCTACTCAAGCCCGAGACTGCGACCGCCGATGTTGACGCTCTCGCTCACGCCGGCGTCGCCTTTCACATCTTTGACGGCGCTCGCGAGCCGACCCGCACCGCCATGGACGCTCCGTTTGCCTCTCGCGCCGCCGACCTCGACACTGTCTTTGCCTCGATCGAGTCTGCCGCCTCGCCCTGGCTTGCCCGCGTTCCCATCATCGCCTCCCTCGCTCTCGCAGACAAGTCGCAGGCCGAGGCCGAGGCCGAGCTCCGCGCCATCGCCGGCGACCTCGTCAGCTCGGGCGGCTTCGAGGGCGCTGTCCTCCGCGCTGCTGGCAGCGCCTACGAGCCCGGCAAGCGATCGCACGCCGCCCTCAAGTACAAGTTCTGGGAGGAGGACGAGTTTGAGATTGTCGGTACAAAGTCGGGCCAGGGCCGCGAGGCCGGGTGCGTCATCTGGGCCGTCCGCGACGCCCACACCGGCGCCGTCTTTGACGTCCGCCCGCGCGGCTCGCTCGACTCGCGCCGCCTTGAGAACCCGGACGCCTACATCGGCGCTCTCCTCACCGTCCGTCACTACGGCCGGACCCAGGACGACGGCCTGCCGCGCTTTGCCGTCGGCATAGGCCTCCGCCAGCTCAAGTAGGCTTGCTTTAGATATGTTCAGTTGCTGCGCTATGTATCAGAATATGTGCATGCGCCAAACTCACTCGGCTTTTGCCTCCGCCTCTCACTTGCCCTCGTCGATCACGACCTCGTCTGACGACGAGTCGGCGTGCGACATAGACCGCGGGAGCGGCTCGCAATCCTCTGGCACCGCCGAGTTGACCATCGTCCCGCTTGTGGAGCCGGTCGACGCGCCCTCCCCTGAGCCTGGCGTCGAGACGAGGATAACGTCAGGAATGGGTCCATAGTCTGAGACCGCTCCAGATTTTGGAGCCGCGGGCGCGGGCGCGGGCGCACCTGCGGTCGAGCCAGAGTCCGAGCCCAGACCCGAGTCCGAGTTCGAGTCCGAGTCCGAGCCCGAGTCCGAGCCCGAGCTCGAGGCGCCCGAGTAGCCAGCAGTGCACGACTCGAGCTCGACGCCGAGCTGGTTGGCGATGGCGGTAACGTCGACCTTTTCGGGCTCGGGTGCCATGTGCGACGGCAGCGACGAGAGCGTGTTGTCCGAGTCCATCGAGTAGGCCGAGCTTCCTGGAGCGCGCGGCGGCAAGCGGGATGCCGACTGCGGTGAGACTGTGAGTAGCGTTAGGTCTGCGCGCGAGGCCTGGTTGAGCGAAGCTGACGACGGCGCAAAGGCGCGGTCGCGGCCGAGGATGCCAAGCTCAAAGAGGTCGGCGTCGTCCCTCAGCTCGATGTGGTTTTGGGTGGTGACCTGCCGGGCCTGTTGGAAGAGCTCGCGCTCCCAGCGAGTGTTCGACTTCCACACCCGCCACCGGCCGTCGACGGTCTCCATGACATTGAGGAACGCGCCCGACGCAGAGCCCTCGAGGAGGTCCATTTGCTGGACGAAGACGTCGACGACGATGGCGACGAGGACGTTGAGGAAGACGACGACGACAAGGACGATAAAGGCGACAAAATACCACGCCGTGTACGACGACGTCGCCTTGATCTCCTCGTACATGACCTCGTGCCAGTTGGAGCCGGTGAGGAGCTGGAACAGGGTGAGCTGCGACTCGACAAAGTTGGGAAACTGGCCCGTGCCTGAGCCGGCAAACAACTCGAGTCCGATGATAGAGAAGACGTAAAAGACGGTGAGGATGAGGAAGAAAACTGCGCCCATGGTAGGCAGCACCTCCATCATCGCCGACACAACCTTCCGCAGCCGCTCAAAGAGCGAGACAAGCCGCAGGGCGCGGAGCGCAAACAGGCCCTGTAGCACACGCACGTTGCGCTCGCTGTTGGGGAAGCCAAAGGCCTTGCGCGGGGCAATGGTAAAAAGAGCGATGGTGGTGCTCACCTGCGAGAGGAAGATGATCAGGTCGACTCGGTTCCACCGCGACTCCCAGAACTTGGCAAAGCCGAGAACAAGCATCTGGACGCCGTGCTCGAGGCCGTAGAAGACAAGGAAAGCGAGGTTGAAGGCATACATGGCCGAGATCGACGACGGATCGTCGAGCGAGCCGACAAGGCCGAGCACGGTAATGTTGGCCGCTACCACCATAAACACCACAGCCTTGACGTACCGCGACTTGGTCTGGTCGCGCCACTTCCGCAGCTTGGTGGACGCGCCCGAGAACGCATGCGTCACGCACGCTGGCACGAGCGACTCGGCCTCGCGCCGCCGCGAGAACCGCAGCAGCAGCGCATCAACGAGGCCGTCCCAGTCGCTCCGCGAAATACCCTGGCCCGAGTGGTGCTGGTCGAGGTGGTGGAAGAGAATGAGCGCCTGCTCCTGGTCGTACTTTCCCGGAGCCACAGCGTCGAGAAAGTCGCGCCACTCGTCAAAGGTGACGAGCCCGTTGTTGTTGACGTCGAGGAGCGCAAAGGCGACGTCGAGGGCCTTGGTCTCCTCGATAAAGTCGCGCGAGACCTTTTTCTCGCGGATAGCCTTGTAGCCCTCGAGCACAATCGCTACCACCACATTCATCAGCAGAAACATGGAGAAAATGATGTACGAAACAAAGAAGATGACGTTGACGTTGTTGCGGTCGTACGCCGGCCGCATGATGTCCGGGTAGTTCTCCGAGGTCGAGAGCACAAACATGGCGAGGCACGACGCCGAGAACGAGTTAAAGTCGCCGAGCCCGTCCGAGGTGTAGTACGAGTGGTACAGGTTCATGCCCATAATGCCGTACGTGAGCACCAATGCAAGGTATGCCACCGAGATCTCGGCGAGCTTGGGAATGGCCTTGAGCATCGTGCCCACAATGTCACGCAGCTGGGCAGACGAGGCCACCAGCAACGCGGCCCGGAATGGCCGCGAGAAGCGGACGTTGGTGCCGGCTCCGTACGTGATGAACGCATCGATGAGAATGGTGATCGCCGTGAAAAGATACGAGCCAGTGTGCAGCGACTTGAAGTACTGGAGGCCGCCCATGGACGGGAACTTGAGCCCGATGTCAATGAGGTAAAAGGTACAGGCGAGGATCTCCAATGCCGCGTACGTCTTGCCGTGCTCACCGAGTGGCGCCCGGTGCGAAGTTGGCTCCCACCGAGCCAGTGACATGTGCGCCACAATGATGGCAAAGATAAAGTACCGCCATGCCCGTGACGAATGCCACTTGTAGAACGCCGACTGCACCGCCGTCCGATCGATAAAGATGTGGCCCTTGACTGATTCACGGACAAAAACGCCGCCTTGTCCACGCGTTCTTTGCGCTGTCCGTCATCGCACCATCACCAGCACGACCAACGTCATCACCGCCACCAACGCCACCGCCGCCAGAAAACGATCATCACCACCAGCATGATCCCCACCACCGCCACGAGACCCCAGCCCGACCACCATCGCCATCACCACCGCCACGAGACCCCAGCCCGACCACCATCACCATCGCCACCGCCACGAGACCCCAGCCCGACCACCACCACCATCGCCACCGCCACGAGACCCCAGCCCGACCACCATCGCCATCAACCGATCATCGTAACATCGCCATGAGTCCCCTTCCCTCCTCCCCCCTCCCGCCCCCGCCCCCGCACACACACGCTCTCTCCTCTCCGTCTTCTCCAACATACCGTCAGATGGCGCCCCAATGTGTGCGAGTAGAACAGCTCGGCATGGGGCAGGATCGGGCCGACCAAGGCCTGGGCCACCGTCTCCAAGGGAAGGAGGGGGGGGGGGGGGGATGGGGGCTACCGCAAGCAAGCGCCTGAGAGTGTTGAGTGCGGGGGGCGGCGGACGCGGAAGAGAGACGAGTCTAGCTGGACCTCCCGTGCTGCTGCTGTCGTTGTCCTGCGCCACGTGGCGCGGCTCCCTCTTAGTGCTGTCCGCGTGGGTGTCAGTCATCTTTTCCCCGCTCAATCCGTCGCCTCGCTGCTCACACGTGTCGGTCGAGGGTGATCAGCACTTGTATCTGGTCTATATACGAGACTAGCTAGAGGTTGTAGCCCATCATCGCCTTGGGCCTCGTCGCGCCTTGGACTTGCTTGGGCCGCGCTCGCGTGGGGATTTTATCGCCGCGGGCTCCTACGAGATCTATCATCGTGCATGATCAGCTGTTAGCGGCTCCAATGGCATCCCAGACGTTGCCTTGTGTCTCGAGCATGATCTTGGAAAAGGCCTCGTAGTCGATGGCGCCGGTAGCACCCGGATCAGCCTCGCGGATGAGCTCGTCGACCTCGGCCTGAGTCAGCTTCTCGCCCAGGTTGGTCATGATGTGGAAGAGCTGGGCTGAGGTGATGAAACCGTTGCCCTGGGCGTCAAACAGGCGCCATGCCTCGAGAATGAGCTCCTCGGCGTCCGGCGCGACCATCTTGGGCGCCGCGGCGTTGAGAAACTCGACAAAGACCACCATGTTCTCCTCGGTCAGCCGCAGCGACGCCAAGATCTCCTTGACATCCTTCTCAGACGGATTGTACCCGAGTGAGCGCAGGACGACTGGCACGTCCTCGGGCTTGATCACCCCCTCCTCGGTCTTGTCGTACTTGTCGAACGCCAGCTTGATCTGCTCCCGCCACCGACCGCCGCGCCAACCATCGGCATCGTCCACCGCAGTCACATCGATCACCGTCATCGCCCCCATCACCAATGAGTCCCCCCCTCCCTCCCCCCCCTTCCCCCCCCCCCCTCCAATCCGTACCTTGGCCAGCTCCTCATGGCCCAACTCTGCCAACGACAGTCCGTCCTTGCCTGCCTTGGCGCCACCACTGGCACCACCTCTGCCCAAAGCCAAACTGCTTGCGCTCATCCTCTCCAGCCCCTTGGGTATGAATAAGTGGGTGTATGGGTGGTGGGTGTATGGGTGGTGGGTGTATGTGTATGGGTGGTGGGTGTATGGGTGAGGGGAGAGAGGAAGACAGGAGGTGTCCGTGTCCGTGCCCGTGTCCGTGTCCGTGTCCGTGTCCGTGTCCATGTTCGTCCCCG